TTGTGGTCAAACTGTGAATGGGGCTGCCTCTCCACCGAAAGTTCCCCAGGGCCAAACAGTTATGTAACGGAGAAACTGTGTCGGTGGAAAATAGTTGGGAATTTATGTCGGAAAATATACGTCTGTCCGCCACTCAAAACAAATACAAGTAGTTCCAAAACCAATGGAGCAGTACGTTTTGGGGTTACAACAAACCAACAACAGTCCGTCGGACTCTGTCCACAACATAATTTATAAACACGAAAAAACTACTCTAACTTAGTCTAAGTACTTAGAAACGTAGTCTAAGTACTTAGAAACGCCCCCGGCCCCCCTCCCCATTCTAACTTACAAAAACAGCCGGTTGAAAATCGTGCCTTGGTGCGGTTGGAACCGGGTTGGAAATGTTTTCCTTCCACAGCGTCCGGTATAATATAAAATTACGTTCTGGGCACGGCGGGACTGCAGCGAATAACAGCGTATTCGTGTTTGTATCTGACTGCCCTGGGAAAGAGACCGCGCTCCGCGCAAAGCATACTGGGAAGAGCCAACCATAGTATCCTGGGGACGAGTCGATGAACGATGAAAATTTGAGTTTTGAAGGGTGAAAAAAAGTTTTGAACGATGAAAATTTGAGTTTTGAAGGGTGAAAAATTAAGTTTTGAACGATGAAAATTTGAGTTTTGAAGGGTGAAAATTGGGTTTTGAAGGGTGAAAATTTGAGTTTTGAAGGGTGAAAAATGAAGTTTTGAACGATGAAAAATTGAGTTTTGAAGGGTGAAAATTGGGTTTTGAAGGGTGAAAATTTGAGTTTTGAAGGGTGAAAATTGGTTTTGAAGGGTGAAAATGGGTTTTGAACGGTGAAAACTGACCCGATGAAGCCTTGTTGAAGTTGTACCTTTGGTCTTTCGTACTAGTTGTATCTTGTAAATGTCGATATGCATGCGGTTTTGACAAGAAGTTTTGTTTCACGTCCATAAGTTCCGCCAACTCACTTTAGAATGGGTTTCAACACATGTTTAGCCATATCAAGTAAATCTTATGGTACAATTTATCTTTATTGCCCCTTTTGTTGTTTTCTGCTGTGCATTTGTTTGTTTCTTTGGGGCCTTTTTGTTCCCTCTCTGATGTGGAGTCTACGGAGATGCCACCTACAGAATTTATTTGCTGTGGCCCGTACTAGTGGCCGACTCCATATGGAGATGCCACCAGGCCTTATCAAACGGGGCCCAAAAGTATTAATCATATATATTGCCCATGTAATAAACTCTATCATCCTGAGAAAAAAAATTAGCTCACAGTGTTACAAATTACTGATGTTTTAGTTATTCGACTAAGGCCATAGACGACTAGTTAGGGTTTGAAAAATAAAGTTTGCGCATTTGGTATGGTCCAAATTATTCTCACTAGCTGAATGCCAAAAGTTGGCGCGCGCGGGACCGTGCAAAACAATGTTGCTTCTTGTAGTACAAAGGTGAAAGCTCCTTGGTAGCACTCACATAGCTTCGACATGGATTGGTTATATGAATCCGAGTGGCCAGAGTCATCAGACGATGATTGGGAATCTCCGGATATGTTGTTTCCTGAATTCTTGGGAAATTTTGGCCACACGGCCGGGATATCACGGGCTACAGCCTCCGGTAGGTTTTGAACAAATGGTTTTGGATTATGTCGTATAAATTTGCACTTCACGTAACTTTGTGTATCTATATTTGCATGAGTTTGTTTGATTAACCCGATTCTCTGAACCGTTGAGTTGTCATGAGTCTCCTCGGAGGCGGATGGGACGTCCATCAACCTATGTAAATTATAATTTGCTACCACATAAATTTCCCCTCCCCCAAAGCGGTTTTCTCTCTTGCCGGCTGATCCACACTTATTTGGCCTTATTTCCATGGAAATGCTAAACGTTTTATCGACGATTCCTATGCTGGTCAACCCCCCATCCACACACACACCATTGTTACTACAACGTGGCAAAATTATGACATCTTTGATTGATTGCATGAACTTCCCATCATAATTAAAAGCCTACGTACATTTTCCTTCTGACATACGATGCACAAGACTTGGTAAGTTACAACAATCAGTTCAAAGATCATGTAATAGTGTGGTATTGTGCGGGCACTCATAAATTATCAACTTTTGACAATTTCTCCCTCCTGGTATGCACAATGAGACAACAGATGGGAGCACTGACCCCAAGAACTTTCACCTTTGACCTTAAACTTTCATGTCCTGATTCCAAGTGTGTCCTGATTCTCTTGATTTACCAGACTTACCCTGGTCACCATCCGATTTGTAACGGTGTTCTTTGCACTCACTGGCCTGAAAAATTGCAAGGAGCCCCATTACAAATCGGATGGCTGCTAGACTAAACTATCATGCATCTTTGTGGCAACACTTTGCATTCGATTGCCACAGTGCTACAGATGTGATAAATAAATCATAAATCCTACATGGCTGTTAGAAACATATGGCTACACCACATAGATTTCATAATGAAGAGAAATTTTTTGTATAAAACTTTTTTCATTCACATGCTCGTATCAGTTTTGGGGTTCCCAGAGGATGTCACCCAAATAATCAAATCATTATGGCCTAACATAACTTAGACTTGCATAGGTAATGATGCCTAGGAAAAATGTTGTATTTCCTGTTTCAGTCTTGAAAAAATTAGGGTTGTAGGTAGGAATTTAAAAAAAAAAACATTTTCTTGGAATCATCGGTGATCCAACTTACACAACACAAAGTAAAACTCCTGCTAAGTAAAAATTTATGTCCTTTTTTCGGGTCCACCCAAAGAAAAGGCTAGGGTAAGCAGTTTTTTCGAGGGTCAGTCGGGAAACAGGAGACACAACATTTTTTTTTAGATTTGAGGGTTTTTTTTTTGTATTGTGACAGAAAATAGGTATTTTGTGCACAATAGACCTAAGTAATTATAGTTGTTAATTAGAAAAGTGGCACATGAATACATGAAATCAATTGTAGCTGCAATGTTGGTAACTTGCATCAAGCTTACCAGACTGACAGCATTGGGAAGTTTCATTCCAACATACTTATACTAAAATACTGTCTCACAGGGTTGAAGTCGGAGGTGGAGAGGATTGGAGGGCATGCAATGTCCATGTTTCGACAGGGAGATTATTTCAATGCAGCTCATCGCTGGTCAGAGGCAATCAGGTATGCAGAGCTGCTCGGGCAGAGGTCAACAATTGCCCAGCTTCTCTTGAACCGGTCCACTTGTGCCCAAAGAATCGGACGAGAGGATCTGGCCTTGTCTGATGCTGAAGAAGCCATCAGAGCTAATCCTGCATGGTTGAAGGTAACAGTGCAAAATGTTTATTTATTACACCAAAACTCAACTTGGAAAGGTGAGACAGGTCAGTGGCATATAACATTATACAACTACAAGCATCAGAAAGGAAACAAGTAACTTCACAATGTCAACAAGAGAACAGTTCACCACTAACGGTGGGAGATGGCTCGACACAGATATATCTGCTCAAAACACAACATTATTCATTTCCACAGAAACCTACTGCATACCGGATTTGCCATTTACCCCATTTGATCTGTCTATTATCTAGACTGTATGACTACTGTAGTTATATGACTGTTGTACAATTCACATCTGCAAATGATGAATCCATGGATGTCACATGTACAATACATGTATTCCACTTTTTCAGAAATAGCTCTGGAATTTCGAAGTACATTCCACAGTTGCTTTGATGAGTTGATTGATGCTTTATTATATTTTATGTCTCTCTTATAGGGATACCTCAAGGCAGGTCTTTCCGCTTTCCGGATGAAGTGCTTTGATCGGGCCCTTGGCTTATTCCGTGACGGGTTTCTTAAGGCAGTAGAGCTCAACAGGCCTTCACAGAAAGAGCCGCTAGATTTTCTCATCCACATGGCTGAAGCCATTCATTTTCTTCCAGGTACGTAGTTTCAGTAGTAGTTTCGAGACTAGCCTAGACTTTGACTATCCTTTTTGACTCAGCAAACGAAACAATAAATACGGACTTTAAACAGAGCCATTTTACTTTCAATTGTAAATTAGTACTTGTGATCCTGTGATATTCAGGAGCTGAGATTAACATATCAGTGATATTTGCAAATCAGTGGCACTGATAAAAGAGGATATTAGTAATATCCAAAAGTCCAAATGTAAGCTCTAGATATATCAGTTAATAAGTCCATTTGTTCCAGTAATATTTTGTTGACTAAATTTCAGGAGTTCGAGTGGAACACATACTTCAGACCATTCGACCTGCCAAACGCCTTCGTACAATGCTTGTGGAACAGCTAGTAGTGGAAAAAAAGTGGCATCTGCTACGGGCTGTCTTCTTCGGGTAAGTTAGTTATTCAGTTTTGATATTCTTCCTAACATAACCTCATTACATGGTAGGGAGTGTTTGAAAGCAAAGTTATTAGTTATTGTTACAATCAAAAGTAAAAGACAATAGTCAAATGCCGTACAGATATTGTCACAGTAAGGCCACACCAATTTAATTTCTTGGTTAACGGATTCGCCCGCTTCATTTTTTTCTGATTTGCAAATAAAAATAAAAATTCAGAATCAACTGCAAAATGCTCATATTTTGCCCTGAACAGTTGAAAGCAGTCATTTTCTTCCTAGTTGTTACAGTTATTCCATCTTTTAATGCAGTGGTATCATTACAAGTTCAAAATTCATTGTTTAAATTTTGAACCAGCATGGTATGTTAACTTCATGGCTCCTATCGTACCATTTTGGGCCATAATAGGACGCCTAGGCCTGTTTTTATTTTTTATTTTTTTTCGCCCGCCCGCTCCATTATTTTTCTTCAAAAATCCGTTAACCAAGAAATCAAATTGGTGTGGCCTAAGCTTGATTTGTATTATTATACTTATGCCAACTGCAGTTTTCTGCAGCCTTGTCGCCATTGTTTATTTTCACAAAGGCCTACAGAGATTTTTTGTTAATGTTGAATGCATTGTGTGCTTACAGTGGAGGTGCTGGACACCGGCCAAACAGTGGAGGCATTGCAACCGGCGGTGACATGTCAAAAATCAACCTCGCACCTATCCTTTGGATCTATTGGGCCCAACCACTTCAGTATATCCGTGACACCGTCTGTGTTCTCCTCCAGCATGGATCTGGATTGGAAGGCTTCAGCTTGGAGCCAGGAGACACACCCATGCACGCTCTACTCAATGTGGAACTGAAGAAAGGTAAAGACACGTTGTTCTCTTATGTTTGATCAATCACAACTGCTCTATGATTGTTGTTTTATCTATCATAGTACCTGTGTCTGTAATAAAAGGACTTTATCTCCATTTTGTCAACACAATGACTATAATGTTTATTTTTGTAGGTGATGACAGTTTACAGATGATGACACTGGTCTGTGAGTCTCTCACATCACGATTCATCAACGCTCTTAAAGCTACTGATGCAAAGGGCAATACCCTACTGCATGTTGTTACCATGGCTGATAGAGAGCGCAACACCAGCAAGAGATGTGCCTTGCGGGCCATAGGGCTTTTGCTTGAGGTTGGGCTAGACCCAGACGTTTGTAACACTGATGGGAAAAAGGCAGCAGATCACGCTCGAAAAGGATCTGATCTCTTTTCCTGCTTGGAAAATGGACGTGGTGAAGGTACGTAGCTGCTGATAAAAGTAATGCTACTGAGATCTGCAGCAAGGAGGTCTAACCTTCTTGCTGCAATGATGGCTAAATATGCTACCAAAACTGATGAACACAAACAAAGTAAAATTTTGCATAATGGTTAACAGGCACACAGGATTCACAATGAATATTATAACTTTTCCTCCTGCAGCTCGAGGTGCTTCCAACAGCTTCTCACACCCGCCACCAGCCCAAACACAGCTGCAGCCTGGACCCAGTCAACCACATGTTCCTTCACAGATGTCAAAAGCTAAAGTACAAAAGACCAAACTGAAAGCACACATGACTCCCCTTGACAAGGCCAGGAAGCTCATTCAAGAGGGAAAATCCATGGATGCTCTGAAGATCTTCGCACGAACGATCAGTGAAGCCAAACTAAAGGAGGATGGTGACATGACTACAGAGCTTCTCCAATGTCTGGAAGGCATAGCACATGCAATGGAGAACATCAAAGGTGGTAAGTACATTAAGCAATGATAATCGGTCTTGCAGTCTCAGCATGAATCCTTTAATTGCATCACAGTATTTTTTATGCATGTATTACTGTAATCAATCATAAAGTTAAATAGCTCTTCATATTTCTTGTTAAATAGTCCCCAGACAAGTTGTTGTTTTGGCACCCCTGTCCATGTGGCGTGGCACTGTGGCAAAGCTGTCATCCCAGAAGAAGTGGCGTACCCTTGGGATGCTCCTAACTGGAGGAGGGAACTACCACAATGCTGGTGATGGAGGCCTAGCCACCGGCTGCGACACAACATGTGTTCCCTTGATGCAAGTCTTCAGGTTCTTTGAAGGGAAGGAAGGGAAACAAAGTGGTCTGAAGATGCACAGTGTGATCAGGGAACTGTTGAAAGGCGGTGCCTCCCCAGACGGTGACGACAGTGACACCCACCCCATCAGCTACTGTCTGCAGAGTAAGGACTTTGCGACAGTTCAAATGCTTCTCGAACACGGAGCAGACCTTTCCAAGTTGACACTGCGGGAAGGAGATACTTCACTACATGCAGCGGTGCAGATTGCAAAAGAAGGTTAGTCTCTGATTTCTGGAATTCATTTCTTAGTTCCCACTGCTTTTGGTTGTGTTGGAAAGAACTCTAAACAAATTTACCCTAGAAAATAGTCAACATTTTTCATGTCAGTTACTTGAAGTGTGAAATTTCATGTGTAGTCTGGTGTATCTAAAACAGATATCAGTCTCTTTCACCCTCAAGATTTAAATTTGGACATGTATCTGTATCTGTATAGCCAGTATAACAGCCCTTCAGTGTAACACACCAGACATGGATTAGTAGACTAGCACTTGAACTAAAAGATGTTTGGCTCATCCCATACATTCCTTGTACTCAGGAAACAGTGGGATTCTGAATCTCCTTGACAACAAAGGAGAAGTGGACCATCGCACCAGGGACTCCAATGGAAACAGCTTACTTCATGTTGCGGTCAAAGGAAAGTAAGTGATACTTACCATCTTTGAAGGGTATATAACACCTTTTGCACCTTTGATCTCTCTACTCTGATTAGAATTGGAAGTACCTGTAATATCGGTTGGTTGGTTGGTTGGTTGCTTGCTTGCTTGCTTGGGTTGTTGGTTGGTTGGTTGGTGTGTTGTTTGGTTGGTTGGCTGATTAGGTTGTATGTTTTGTTGGTTTGTTTGTTAGTTGGCTGGTTGTTGGTTATGATGCCTTTCTCACTTGCTTGCTCATTTTATTCTTTGCTTATGTAAGTCGTTTCAGCTCTTCTTAAGCTGTCATATCCCTATTCCTCAGATATTCAATGGACGGTGCAAAGCTCTTAGAACGACTTCTTAAGATGGGTGTTGACCCGTCAGTAAAGAATAATGAAGGAATGACGCCACTTGACTACCTGAAGGAGGGAGATCGAAGGCGACAGCTTTTGGAACCCCATATGAAGAAACAGGATTCATCAACAAAGAGTCAGGACAACAATGCTAAAGATGCTAATTCAAAAGGTTCCAAAATAATGGATGAACGAGTAACAAGCGAACATGCTGGCAAGACTGCAGATAGCTGGGAGGATGCAGCATCTGGGGACAACAACAAGTCTACACAAGCAAAGAGACAGACATCATCGTCTCAAGAACAAAAGAAATCAGCCAGAGAAGACATTAAAAGCCGGATACTTGATTCCATCTTAACCATTCCATTACCAAATGCTACGGAAACAGAAGAAAGGCTGCTTCGTCGAGTTAGGCAGAAGTCCTACCAGACCACAACCCCAGTAGCCAGCACAAGGCCAAACAGAGACCAAGACAAGCTAGAGAACCGAGATGAGAAAACCACAGCTGACCCGTCACTATACACTGTAGCTCAGGAGGCACAACTCCCACAAAGTTGCTGGAAGCCAGAAGAAGGTGAAGAGCTACCAGACACTAGCTATGATGTTTTTGACAAAGACCTTCCATGGGAGGTGGAATGCACTGACAAGGTGAAGAAGATTCTGAAGAAGAAGGCTTTTCCGTACGAAGTAAAGAAGCGTGTGGTAGAAAAGGTAAACCGGCTTGCCAAAGGAGAGTGGATCAATAACTTGACGAAGAAAGTTCGTGGCCGGCCCCAAGAAGAAGGAATGCAGTTGTTTGAAGCAAAAATAGACAAAGCTTCCAGGATCCTGTGGGAGCTTGCCATTGCCTTTTCCCCACGACTGAGTGATAATCCAATAGAATGGTTGAAAGGGGTCCAAGAAGCAGAAGAGTCCACCACCTTGGCACCTGGGGGTCGAATCTACACTGAGATCATCCGAATCTGGGACATCGTCCTTGATCACGACAACCTTGAGCGTGCCATTGACCAGGCAGTAACATCATTCATGCGGGGTAAAGCCAGCATGCCCATCGCAAAGAAGAGTCTCGTCGGAAGTACAAGCCGGCAATTCAAATCGGCTCCAGCCACTACAGATAGGCTTCCAATGTTGTTTACAGAGAAGGATATCACCACCGACAGACCCAAAGATATTCCAGAGAAACAAGAACAACAGTTCTTTCCTGCAGCCAGTTCTAACGAGAATGAGTATAACATTCTCAAGTTTTACTGCTTTTCATCTTCCCTGGTCAACAACATTCTTCGGGATGACAGTCTGCCGGTAGAGTTTCCCTTCAAGGTGACTGACTTGGAACATGCTATTGTCCATCTGAAGGCCCAGCCTCCCTCCTCGATCCTACTACTCGGTCGAAGCGGGACAGGGAAAACAACGTGTTGCCTGTTCCGGCTTTGGTACGCATATTTGTCCTACTGGACCAAGAGTGCCGCCCATGGCTTTGAACCTTGGGTTCCAAAAAGCAAAGCGTATATTCAACGACGCAACAAAATGGATGACAAAGATGACGATGAAGAAGAGGAAGGAGAGTCAGAGATTATCCCAGAAGACAGTGGATCTGAAGAGGAAGTTTGTACAAAAAGCAAAAAGAAAGTCAACGACAAAGACAGCTTGGGTCACCAAACTCATCATTCAGAAACTCTAGTGGACTCTTCTGTGCAGAAAATTGATGAAGAGGATGAATCACTCCACACTGAGATGACCAAACGTGACTGGAAGGAGCCTGAACCAACAGAGAACCTGGAAACTGGAGAACAGGAGTTTGAGCACCTTCATCAAATCTTCGTGACAAAGAATGCTGTACTGTGTAGTGAGGTTGGAAAGAACTTTCAAGAGCTTTGTCATGGAACTGAAGCAGCTCAAAAATACCTAGAAGCCAACCAGGATGAGAAGATTCCAGTGAGACTTCAAGATGTTGATCCAGCAGGCTTCCCACTCTTCCTCGACTCCAGACAATGGTTGCTTATGCTGGACGCCTCTCTGGAAGAGCCCCACTTCTTTAAAAGAGCGGATGGAGGCCAAGTGGCTGAGGAGGTACCTGGATGGATGGAGAATGATGGTCCAGCGACATTCATCCCTACAGATTCTGACTTGGAAGATGACTCATCTGATGATGAAGAAGACATGGAAGGTGGAAAGGAGCTTGACAAACTAAAAGCTGCAATTGTTGCAGCTGAAGATAGTGGCCGACGTCAACAAGAACGTCGTACAATGAGACAAGAAGTAACATATGAGGTGTTCTGCACTGAGTTGTGGAAACGAGTAAATCGTGGCAAAGTGGACTACCACCCCACCCTGGTTTGGATGGAAATCATGTCTATCATCAAAGGCTCTGTAGAGGCTGTTGAAACAAATGAAGGGCACCTCAGCCGTGAAGAGTACCTTGAAATTGGCAAGAAGCGTGCTGAGTTTACTGGTGATCGTGACAAGATATACGACATCTTCCTAGCCTACCAGCATGAGAAACGACAGCGGCACATGTTTGATGAAATGGACTTTGTGCACAATCTGTACAAGCGACTTGCTCATGCCGAGGACGTAGGTTGGTCCATACATCAGGTGTATGTGGATGAGACGCAGGATTTCACCCAAGCTGAGCTTGCTTTGTTGATCCGCTGCTGCTGTGACCCGAATGAAATGTTCTTCACAGGAGACACTGCCCAGAGCATCATGAGAGGGGTGTCCTTTCGATTCAAGGACCTCCGCTCGCTGTTTCACAAGGCCAGAGAGTCACTGCAACAGATGGGGAAGAGGACAGCAGTACAGGTACCCGACATGTACCATCTCACACACAACTACCGGTCTCACTGTGGCATACTCGACCTCGCAGCAGGTGTGATCAAACTACTGGAGAGCTTCTTTCCCTACTCATTCGACCACCTGCCAAAGGATCGAGGCATCATGGAAGGTCCAAAACCCCTTTTACTGCAGGGATGCTCACAGAAGGACCTCGTCACCCTTCTACAAGGAAACCGTCGAGCAACATCCACCATTGAGTTTGGAGCTCACCAAGTTGTCCTGGTGGCAAATAACGAGGCAAAGGAGGACATGCCAGATGTATTCCGTGGATCTCTGGTCCTCACCATCTACGAATCAAAGGGGCTAGAATTTGATGATTGTGTTACTGTACAACATCTTCAAGGATTCACAGGTAAGCATCATTTCAGACAGTAATTGTAAATGTCTTGTACATTGTCTTGCGTTGAATGGTCTGACTGTTTGGTCTGTTATAACGATAGTAATCCCACTCGCAAGCAAATAATACTTTAATTGTCATGAATTGCTTTTGCAGGCAGATGAAGAATGGAGGGTTGTGTTGACTTGTATGGATGAGGATGAAGTCAAGGCTTCCAACACAGAGCCATGGGAGAAATCAGAAGGATTGCTGAAGATTGCTAATGACCAAAGCAGTGCTGTTGCACAGGCCAGGCCTCTGGACTTCAATCCAGAGAAGCACAAGGTATTCAGTCTCGTCTTTACTGAAAACCTATGTACCGAATGCTGAATGAAATCATTCATTACCTCCGGGAAGGAGACATCCTTCAGCGAAAGGGTTTTGTGAGAGATTTAGATTTTCATGTTCGCAGCTGTTTCTCGCATTTGGGTGGACGGATTCTTTTGGGACTCGGTATATATTTTGCTATTGGGCTGTACATGATGCACGCTCTTTTTTTATTGTATATGTGTTTTCGGGCGGGAAAATGGTGCCTTTTGGTGGCCCCAGAACACCCCTTTGAGCGTGAAAGTGGTCGCGACCGTTGACCTTTGGTGTGTTTTAAGTATTACAAGTCTCGTCCACTTGCATGACCTTTCGGACAGAGGGGTATCCGGTCTCGATACATTCTTTGCTTAAAAATATGCACCAAAACGCTGTTTTCCAGGGCTGCGTAGCCAGATTCAGTGAAAATATGCACAATTCAAAGAACCTTTGGTGAAAATATATATTTCTTTGCGGATTTATGGTGTTTTTTGACTTGGATCGAACCCGCAAGTGTCAATACGGGGGCACGGTGTCTGGTAAAGGTAGCGAGTCACAAGTATGCAAATGAGTATTATGCAAACTTTGGCATACGTGCCTATATTACTACAACTTCTTGAAAAACCTTGTATATTTGACGTACTATAAGCAGCAAGCTTCTGTATGTGACATTTCGGACACCAGTTACTATGTTTTCGATCAAAATATTTGTGGTTTTAACGTCTGATTTAACGGTTCCGGTTGTCATTACTCCGTGAAGGAGGTCAGGACCTCCGGACGGAGTGTTGTGAACGGCTGATTTTTCATGTTCGCAGTCAAAACACTGGGTTCTCTTTGTGTAATCGGCACGCAATTTTATACGCCGTCTGCGGGCATGCCCGTGTTGATGCACGAATGTGTATTTTTGCCGTTGCTGCTTTCGCGGTCAATGTAATGACGCACCCCTACAATTACGAGGCGAATTGGAATGGTCCAGAAAAACGCGTTGTTTGGAATAGCAGTGGGGGGGTGGAACTTCATGCAGATACGGGGTGGTTTTTATAAGTGGTTCCAGATGTTTTTGCCCATGGTTAAGAGATGGCAAGTTTTTTGGAAGATGTTCGCAGCCAAAACGCATTCTTCCGTACGTCGCATTTCTGTGTAATTTCGCATGTGGTGTGGCATTATGTTCGGGATGATGCACGTCTTTTTATTTTTACCGTAGCTGTTTTGATATTGGAGTAAATGCTTATTTTCGAAACATCCCCATGTCGTTGAAATGTTTTCGTCCGGCCGTTTATGTGACCGGTAGTTGTAAGTGGCGGTCAGGCTGATGGGGACGGAAATGTGGGGTGGTCAGAGGTCAACATTACGAAATGTAAATACCGATGACGTAATCCTATCGATTTCAAACTGGTCGGCTGTGGCGACCTAGTGGCGGCGTGTATTTAGTCACGTAGCAACTGGCCGGTCGTCCTAGCAACGAGCATGCTGGCCACTCCATTGTACACATGGCCAATATTTTTGGGTTGGGCCGCTCCATAGTGTTTAAATATAATAGTGGAGCAGCTCTTTGAAAAAATGGACAATATTTTTGAGCAACCCATCAATGTGTTCTCGTGGTCGGATGTGGTCTGGGGCTGGTAAACCACACATACTAGTAGATCGGGTAATTTTATGATTTGCTAGTTGTAAAGGCGTCTTGTAGTATGAGCCGGTATATGAAGAAGTAGCCTGTGTTACACAATCATGCTTTCGGCCGGATTGATGTGCAACTGTTACTAATTACAGGGACTGCGCTAATGCCGACCAGTCGCGCTGTCCTGATACACCGCGAATGTTGGGCAATATGCGAGTGTTCCCTGTAGACAGTCCCGGGAGTCATTTTTTTTCGCACATTCGCACATTCCAGGAGCCAAACCAAAATACGTTCATGAACCGAGTCCAAAAAACCGAAACATGAAAATCGGATGATCGGACCTGATGTACATTTCTCTTTCTGTAGATTGTACACACAATACACACATATACAATCTTTAGATAATCTGGCCATGGCAGGTAAAAAAAAAGTAACCCTGAATCATACTAGATTAGCGTAAATGCATGTTTATGCGTTCAAAACAAGAAAAGAATTTGTTTCAGGTATTAATCTCTTGAAACACGGCACTGAATATTGACGCAACAATATTTCGGGCATCGCGCCCTTCCCCGTTGTTTAGACTGTATGCAAATCCCGCGTCACGTGTCGGCATTTCGCATCTCTGATTGGTTGTTGCGTCTTAAGATGACTGAGCCGACGTGCGTTTAAACAATTTTTCTTTGTTCGATTTATCACACTTCACAGAGAATTGCCAATGGCTTCTTCTTTTTGTTGCAATATATAATACTTCACGGAGAATTGTCGCCTATGGATTCTTGTTCTGAGTTTCATTACGAGTTCCTTGCGGCAGATTGAATAGAATTCCTTAAGTTCATGGGTACATGTTATAAGCTGCAGATGAAAATGTTGACCTGTGTTAACACAACATGGAATGCTAAATCTAACATAAAATTTAACACCATCAACTATTCAAAACAAACAACGTATAAGAATATATAATAAAAAGCCCGGAGGTATAAAATCTCAGATTTTACTTGTTTTGAGTTCTGTTTCCTCTATACACGACTGTATTCTATTCCTGTTGTGTGATGTATGTTGATGTCATCAGATTACTCACTCAATTACTTTTTTCTTGGTTAGGTGTTGAACTCTGAGCTAAAGAACTTATACACTGCCATCACCCGTGCGAGGGTGAACGTCTGGATCTTCGATGAGGACACAGCTAAGCATGCGCCAATGTTCAAGTATTTCCTTGAAAAGCAATTCGTCGAAGAGCCACAAAGGGATGAGCTAGGTAGGTACTACAATTTTTATTAAAGAACTGTCCGTGAAGTGGTGTTGTACCTGATATGCTGCCTATGAATATCTAACACCTTATCTTGGTTGGCATTTATTCCAGGTCAGCTTTCATCCAGCGTCTTTGTGAAAGAGTCCACACCTGAAGAATGGTGTCAGCGTGGTGAGTACTTCTACAAGAAGGAGAGATGGGAAATCGCAGCAGACTTCTTCAAGAAAGGAGGAGATGAGAAGAAAGCTAAGATGGCCTTGGCACAGCATCTTGCTCAGCAGGCCAGCCAAGATGCCACCATGACAAGAGAGAAGCACAGGATAAGACAGAGGTTCCTAGACTCAGCGGATCTATTCCTACAAAGTGGAAATCACGTGGATGACAGGGAGGCCCTAGTCAGAGCAGCCCGCTGCCTCACCAACTCAAGGGACTACCGCCTTGCTGCTCAGCTGTTTGAACGACTTGGGGAGGTATGTGTTGATTTTTCACTTGTTCACAGTAAGTCCTGTATATTTTTTTTTTCTATTGTGTTCCACTACATGTATAATTGTGTTCCACTACATGTATAACTAATATGTGTGGCCTCAGTTCATAGTGCCCTGGCCAAAAGTACTTTCAACATCCCATGCTAAAGCAACATGACCCCTTATTAGATACATTGTAGTTAGTACCCAGTATACCAAGTGAGACCATTTGTGAAGAGATATGAAGATGCTATGATGACAAGCAAAGCAAGGGGCAGAAGAACAACTACAATTGTTAGGAACAAAGATAGTAGGAGAAGATGCTCATAAAGTGGGGTATGCACTTCTATTTCTAGTTTTCAAGTGCTGCACATCTGTACCAGAGAGAAAGCATGAAGGTGGAGGCCAGTCGCTGCTTCGTACAGGCCGGAAACTTCAAGAAGGCGGTAAATTTCTTACGAAGTGTTGATGAGTTTGAAGCTGCAGCCAATGTGTCCCAACAGTACATCCAGTTGCAAAGCAAGTGCAAGCAGGAGGGACTGAATCCAACTGTTGTAATGACAGCACCCATTCAAACGCCAGATAACCTTCTCCTTGAAGCCATTGCCCACTACCACAGGCACGGAGAAGAAGACAAGAAGATATCTTGCCTAAATCGCCTACCAGTTGATACCCGCCTGACGTTCTTCACACAGCATGGCTATGTAAAGGAAGCAGCAGAGCTACTGAAGAAAGAAGGAAGGGGTCAGGAAGCAGCCGAGTTGCTGAAATCAGTGGGAGATTTTGAAGCTGCCGGCAAAGCTGCAGATCAAGACCAAAATCCCCAGTTTGTAGCTGAGTGTCTCCTCATTCAAAGTCGCAAGCAGAGGAAGGATGCCACCGACAACATCCAAGAAACCAAGGATAACTTGATAACATGTATGGTCCTATACCAGAAGAGTGGCAACAATGAGGCAAGAGCTGAAGCTATGATGATGCTTGGAGACTTGACAGATGATCACACTATGCTAAACAGTGCAATCAAGCACTTTGGTAACAATACTGCTGGAGCACTGGAAGCAGCTGCCTTGCTAGTGAATAGGAAGAAGACCTTGACATTCGGAGATATTCGTCTCATCCTGACTCTCTTGGAAGATGTCTTCAGCCTGATAAGAGCTCTACTGGTCGCCAGCAGGCGACACAAAGTCAAAGATCACCACTGGGTAAAGGCATGCGAGCTGTTCTATGGCGTGAAACGTACAGACGTCAGCAGTGCAACATTCTCATCATCAGAAGAGCCACGTATCTTTGATGCCTTGGACTTTTCTGGGAGAAGCAAGTCTACAACAAAGGTGGACATTGAGACAGCAAGAGCATGCATGGCCGGGGATCTCCTCAGAAACGTAGATCAGCTGAAAGAGGGGCTGACAAAGAAGTTACGGTCTATCGTAACAAGCTGTCAAGTATGCTGTATGTATACTGCTGGACTGAGCTGTCCAAAAGGAGATGTATGCGCTTACCTACACCATCCATATGACAAGGGTACTCTGAATTCGCTCCTGCAAGCAACAATATATCTCATCAAAGTCCAAGGACTCTTTGACCTGGGATATGAGCAAATAAAGGACAGTAAGTGGGAGAGGGTACAACAAGCTGTTGCTTCTCACAAAGATCGCGGTGCAGATAAAAGCAGGTTGTGTGATGACCTGTACAGTATCCTCTTCCCGACACACGGCCATCAGAGGATTCTCACCGAGAACTTTAGGACAGCTAAGGATGTTTTCCACAAGTTTCAGGGAGATGCAATTGTCATGTCATGCATTCGAGACTATGCCCAGTCTCTCTGGGAGTCCGCCAGTCACAGTGACAAAAGATCAAACACAGACCTCCTGATCAAGATTGCCAACCTGTTTCGACTAGCCAAAGATCCACCAGTTGGAAACTTGCAAAGATCCACCTTTGCAAGTTTACTTGCTTCTGCTGAGGAAGGGTACAAGAAGTGGGCAATGAAAAGACACCATCCAGAGAAGATACCTCGACACATTGGCATGTGCTGCAATATGGTGGGCCCAAGTCATCTGTTCTTCAGTTTCATGAGAAGAATGGAGGAATTCATCGAAAACATCTACCAAAGAGAAAACATTCTCTCTTCAATTGACAACATGATGGCCTTCATGGGTTTACTGGCAAAAAGGGCATTGGAGCCACTGATTCCATCTTTTGCTAACACTTGCTTCTTCATGGAGCTGCTTGTTGTAATCTGTTACTCCATATATGCCAAGATGAACCAGCACGAGCTACTATGTCTCCCTGCCAGCTACATCTCTATGGTTCATATGTGTGATCGACTGTGGAGCAGAGGTAAAGGCTGTATCTATTCGGCCATCCAACAGCTTCCCTACAAGAAGGATGAGATCCTTGGGAAGGTTAACAACTGCATTTGGTTCATCATAGACACCATTTGCCAAAGTCAGAAATTCCCTGATTTCAATGCCATTGATGATGCTTTCCGTCCAAACATCCCTGACTATGCAGAAAGCGGCGAGATGGAAAGAGTCTTCATTCTGGCCTTAGTGCTGATTTGTGGTTGTGGTGGCCCTGTTCCAAAGAATGCTGAGGTACCTTTGCGGAAAGCCCTGTACAAGATTGGCATCAAGAAGCACTTTCCAAAGCGACTTGCAGACGCCACCAGAGGAATGAGATCAGCAAAAGGAATACGGGATGTTGTGTTACTTCTGCAAGAGCTACTGAAGGCCCGCGACCAGGAATACCTTCGTCACTGCTGTTGGAAGTACCCAGACAGAATGACAAGGGGCATCTACAGGGGGCTTAACTTCGATCAAGTGAAGCCTGATATGTTCATCGGGGGATTTTGGCGGAAGATAACGATGGAGTTCCACTTCTACGATGATGATGCTGTAAGCCATGCCAATGACAGCTCAGCCCAATCCCATGATGACGATGTTGTAACTCCTGCCAATAGTAACTCAGTAAGTGCCCATGCACAAACTGACAGAAACCAAACGTCTAACAATGTCCTTGTGCCACAGGGTAGTGCAGACATTTCAGAAGTTGCTGAAGAAAATGCTTCACAGGTCAGTGAGGAAGATGACTTGATTCCTAGACAAGACGAAGATGATGTCATTGTTGAAGATGAATTCGAAGAGGAAGTTGATGATGGCACTCTGGTTATGGATGATCCAACACTTGCAGAAGGCCAGGATCATAGAAACATGTATGAGAAGATTTTGCAACAACAAGCTGAGGAGCGCCGACAGTCGGCAGCGTGCAAAATTCAACAGTTTTGGCGCACACATCGCAAGGTGGGGATGATGGAGACTCCAACACACGGAACTGTGCACATTGCAATTGACCGTCAAATGTCAGTGGAACAGGATGACCTGCGTGAATTCAAAGTTGACAACACGGGGTGCCGCATCTGCGGTGTCACTTTTGAGTCTCGTCCACATATCCGAGATGATGTGGAAGAACAGGAGGAAGGTCAGGAAAGGAATACCTTCGAGGAAGCGTGGGATGCAGACCCTGATGGGATGAAAGCAGAGGAGGAGGATGTTGACAAGCGAGATATCATTACTCGCGAGAAGCATTTGCAGGACCCAATGCATTCCGCGAATCTCAGTGAGTTTGGTCACTTCAAGCAATTCTACACTTCAGATGTGGCTAGGGTCCGGAAGCGGTATGACAAGTTCATATCTGAAGCTAACGATGACAAGGGAAATGAAGGAGCTGTCATGTCTGAAGTTCAAAAGGTAAACACAGCACACAACTCACTTCAAAAGTTACTAGAGAAGATCAAAGATGAATGCACTTGGAACAAACGACAAGATGCCTACAAAGCACTTCACGCCCTCCAAGATGCCCTTGTTGCATTTCGGAGCGTAAAGCGTCTCATAGAGAGACAGGCTGATGAAGAGGAGGCGTCGGTGGCCTTTGTGGATGAAGAAGCTGAAGAGTTTCGCAACCTTGACGAAGATGACTTCATCGCTGTGGGTGGGAAGAAACAGCGCGCAAAGGGCAAGGGTGGTCGTCAAAGGAAGAAGAGAATCAAAAAGAGTCAGAAGTAAATGCACCAATGACAAGCACAACTGTAAGACTTTTGTTGACAAATGAAGAACTTCAATGTCAGCTTGGATTTGAAGATTAAGAAAGTTTATCTTACCTTGAAAGAGAAGTATCAGAATAGCTGGCCTCCTTTCTTTGATTTGATATTCAATAGTCTGTCATAATTTGTGGTGAATATATCTACACTAGAGCTAGTGTTAGACTAATATTAACATCGTAAAAAAATCTTTCATCTAAAATAGCAAGAGATAAAAGGAAACTATATTTTAGATATACTAGTATGTAGATCTGTCTACTATAGATATTTGTCTGACACATTTTTTATTATGTTGTCCCTTCTGTCCAGATCTCTATTGTATTGGCTGTATATCCTCCGTTCAGTGTAACACACTAATCCAAACTTGACTTAAATGTCCCTGTGATTCTAGTAATGATGTTTTATTTTTTAGACACCTTTTCAAACCAGGAAATTTGGTAAAATGTTCAGTTGTTCTGGACCAAATGATGTCACAGCAAGAATATACTTTTAAATGCCAATGAATGCTACTCTATGCAAAATCTCAGGCCTATTCTGATTCCATAAATTTTAGAGACATTCCAATATTTGAGTGTGTACTTGAGTGTGTTTGTGTGATCCCAACATAAAGGACTTGAAGTAGCATACAATTCAATATGTTTTGGTGCCATATTTGAAATAAATTCTCTTGATATATCTTCTATTGCCCTGTTGTGTTTTGACATTAAGACAAGGAGACACAAATATACATCAACAAATATAAATGGCTTTTCCATTAAGTTATGCAGAACTGGCCCTGAGTTGATTGGCAGATTTTTCCCCAAATAATGGAAAAGCAACTCAACTAAGATTCCAGATACATGTGGTAGTTATGGCTCACAGTTAAGTTTTATGATAGTAGTCATATTTACCATGAAACAAAGAAAACAATGCAAATGTGACATTTCATACATTATATTGAAAATAATCTCAGTAACTTGCCATCTATTAACAATCTTGCATATAACAATCAACAGTGCAAACAGGGATATCTACAGTAGCAGCTTTGAGCAAACCTGAAGACAACAACATACCATTTTACTGTACATAGATATGTGCATATACGCATGTAACATCACAGTGACTGTACATAAATTCCAATATATAGCCATTGATAGGCAAGGGTCGACTGGTCATTCGAACATGAAGCAGTCTCAAGTATGGTGATACTATTGTCGAAACCTAAATGGCTTGAGGCATTGTGTTGAACAACACATTATCAAATAATCCTTGAGCACTAAATCCCGGACTACAATATGGCTTCTTACACTTCTTAACAATGGAATAGCGTTTGTTCTAAATGGCCTTGCCATTCAATGTCCTCTAAATGGCCTTGCCTTTTTCATTCATCACCAGTACTTCTTCAACATGTACGTGTTTCATTAGCTATAAAAACTTCATGAAATGGTTACAGTTATTTGCCAGAGGACAAATGGAGGGTTATTTAGTGTGACATGTCCATGACATCAGCAGAGGTCACCGTCTCCCAGGAGGAGCTAGTCTTGTCGATCGGGGGCAGTCTTCCCAGGGTGATGCTGCCACCACCTCGTCTCTTTCCCAGGCTGGCTTGGAATGGCATCGCCCTCGCTCCCATGTTTACCTTCTTACCTGATAGGGATTACACGATACACATTGTTAGACAAGATCCCAACGAAAACAAGATGACTACACAATGTATAACAGAAATACTGTTGAATAACATTCCTGGAATAGACTCGACAACAGGGAAATGTTGTCATTTTGCTATCTACTAGTACTTAAGATTACTCTGTCGTTTCAGTAATATTCATAACCTTATATCTTGAAGAGGAAGTTTGCACTATAAATGCTCATAATGAATTCGACTAGAGGATCATATAAATCATGGCAATGGAGATGAACTTACGATTGCCCCATGGGGGTAGTGTTCCATAGTGCCTTCCACGTGGAGGTAGTCCTCTCATTGGGCGAGCTCGAACTGAGAAATGAATGATTGAGAAATTAAGGGTAAGAATATTCTTTGACATCCTATTTCAATTCAACATGCAAGTGTATGTATGTGTGTTCGCTCATGCGTGCGTGCATGTGTTGTGGAATATTCCTCAATATAGTAATATTTTCCATCTCCATATTTTGAGTCTTAAGGTAACAGATGACATCAGAGTTTGTTCTCTTCTCACTTACCTGACGGTAGATGGGTGGGTCTTGTCAGCTGTCTTGCTAACGCTGGGTATCCGTACTTCTGGAGTGCTTTGCAGAATATCGGGAAGGCATGTTCGGGTCTGTAGGTAATACAATCAATGTTAATCTGTATTATAATATAGCCTTTAGTAATGAAGATACCTCAACATGTTAATTGTCAGTGTTTCAGAAAACAACTCCATAACCTGATGTCACACAGTGTGGTGGTTAGCACCATTGTGATGACAACGACAAATTTTGATATGTGCACAGGTGGTTCTTCCTACACATTTAACAAACTGCTGCTCAAACTTGATAGACAGGAGTGTCATGTACTAAACCTAACTGGATTTTTGTTCAAAATTTTACAGTCATCAGTGAAGGGTCAACGTTGTCAAAGGCCTTCGAAGAAATGGGTGTTGTCAACTATGATAAAACACAAAGTAACGACACACACCTTTGGCTCAGAATGTCCACAAGTTTGGCGGCTTCGTCCTGTCGGGTGAGTTGTGTCAAGATGGCGGCCATGTCTGCCTCCTTGATGGCGTGGTTCTTCAGCATGTAGTCCCGAATGTCGCGCACGTCCAGGTGACGTATGATAGTCAGGCGGTGACGCTGTAGGGCCAGCTTGTGTTGAGCCTCTATACCTACAAATTAAAAAAAACATTAGTAATGTGTTCAAAGGTCCGTTAGTTTAAAGACCGTATGAAACCTACATTAAGTTATAGAATACAGACACGAGCATTTGTACGTCGTACGACTTGGCGACGCGGGAATTGTTTCAAAGCTCCAATGGACTTGAAATATGTGAATACCAAACCAAGAATCATGTATAGCTCATTGCAGTGACTTCCGTCACCAATTTTGCCAAATGAATGGACACGTTTTGAGAGCACTTGGCCTTGCAAGAATGCAATTCTTTGGTATCCACAGAGTATGTTTTTATTCGATGTCTGGAAACACAAAAAAATAGCTTAGACACGAACCTTTGTCGTCGTACGACTTGGCGACGTAGTCGTTAACCATGGGGAGCCGGCCGATGGTGCTGGGGGCGTGGACACTGCTGGAAATCCCCGGGGAGATGGTCGACTCGCCCAGGGACAGGTCCTTCACGGAGCCGGACATGGACGCCAGGGACGACTGCTGGTCCTTCAGACGCACGGAGGGGACCTTCAGCTCTGTGAGCAGACAAAATCGTGCGGGTTGTTATTGGGTTTTTAAATATGTCAGAAATCTGCCAATGACTATAGCAGTGTGGAAAGTAAATACTTATGTTGAAAGGTAACTAGCAACAGTTAATATGGAACAATGTAAAATTTTATAGCGAGTGCCTGTGTCGTCTACAAACATGCACCATGACGACATCGTCATATAAGTGAACACCATGAACAGAATGTTTGATGAGCTAAAAAATTAGATGGCAGTATTTACAATGTACAAATGGATCAAATATGATGGAATATACCTGTCTTGGTGGCGATTGGCCTGAGTAGTTTGGCTGCCAGTCCCGGGTAGCCGCACCGCTGCAGGGCGGCACAGAAAACGTTGAAGGCCCGGGGTCCTCGCGCCATGATCATGTGGATGAGTTTGGCAGCCTCGTCCTGATTGGTCAGCTCCGTCAGGATAACCTGGAACTCAGCCGGCTTCAGGACCTTCCTCTGGACCAGGTAGTCTCGTAGGGGCCGAACGTTTAGGTCCTGCGGGACGAAGGTAAGTGAATCAGTCTCAGATCTATCGTCGTTTAACATTGTGTTCGCTCCAAATGTTGCATGCTGGACAAGCACTAAACAAGTATAGGTTTCCATACGGTGAGCGTACATATTGTTATACATCTCTCCATTTATATCAAAGTTAACATCATGTTGATAACCACAAACTTTTAATTACCAGCGACGTATGCTACATATTTTTACTCTCTATGGCGTCTAACTATTATTATCCTTTCAACTCTTTTCATAAGTTCTGTCCATTCAATCCTTTCAAGAGATCGTTCATTGTTAACCTAACTCATTCTAGGAAACGCCTTCTATATTTGCAATATTCTTTAAGTTTTCAAGAAATGCATTAAGCTCAATCTCCAGGCTTTGGCACGGAGATATCATTAGCACTGACTTTCAAAGCCAGTCACTACTCCGTCGCACTACGTGGTAAGCGAGGTAACACCAGCTTCTTGTCCCTTAAACGCCTTGCCTATAGATACCCACCTGTATGATGGTAGCGCGGTGCTGCATGAGGATCTCCCGGTACCTGTCCTCCCCGACAGCCGCCGTCAGTGGCAGGAGGGACGGCAGAGGGTCTGGCTGTAGGACAACCTCCACACCACTGCCCAGATCCAACTGTGGGATCACTATGGACATGACGCAGGTAGGTTATGTCACTTCTATTCGCAATAGCGTCAGATAAAAACGAGCGATTCTCTAAAAGCTCGTCGTACGTTAGAAAACACACAAGGTCCTTCTGAAAGTCGAGTTACTATATATGCAATGGTTCCTTTGACTCCTGTTTACACATCCCCTCCTAATGATAAACATTTTGTGACAAAGCTGATGTTGGCAGAAGCACCAACCTACTAGTCTATCACTATCGATGATAGAGATTGTAGAATGATTGCTAGTATTAGTAACGACACATATCTTGATCTGGTCTTGTTTCCACCAACTAGTAATAGTATACGTATACCATGATAATACATGTATATGTTTCATGCTATGCTATTTTCATCTTATATACGTTGTGAAGGTGGTGCATCTTATAAGAAACCATATTGTTACCCACCTGTGGTCATCTTTGGTTTGATGTCGGCAGCAGGAGTCTTTGGTGTGTTGACCACGTATCTCCTCAGACCTCCCGTCTCTGACAAGGAGGAAAGAAAAAAAAAACGTTAACACATGATAGGTACATATTTTCTTCAACTATTATAAATTACAAAGAATATGGTATGAGGTTAATACATATGGAAGATATAGTTTGGAGGTATTCCATTGCAGATGCGTGAGTAGAGATGGCCTTCGTCTTATAAGCTTATGAAGTCTGAGATAGTAGTTAGAATTTATTTACCTTCATCCGGTGGGAAGACGAGCTTGGCGTCCACGAAGCCTCCGGCTGCCCTGGGACAGATCACGCGCCTCTTACCGCGAGGCTGGCGGAGAACCTCCTGAATAGAGGATCGGAAGAAAAGTGTTTAGATTGGTTGACATCATTCGTAGCGATGGGAAGATGACAACGTTGATTCAGATTGGTTGAATTAATAAACATCGTAAATAAAAAGAAAGATTTCTCTTTATCATGCCCATACACTGTATGGACGTGCAAACCGTTAGTGTTAGGGTTATGCACAAACAAGAACATGCAGCTCTGTACCCACCTTGTAGAACATGTGCGGCATGTCGATGTTGCGCTTGACGCAGTGAGGGCAGACCAGGTAGACATCGTACCTCAGGCCTGGCCAGCTGGTCAGCAGAGCAGCTACCCCCTGCAAAGCGACAAAAAAGGCCACAGCACGATCAATTTTTATGCTCCCTGAGAAATTACTATTGACTAAGTAGACAAAAGAATAAACCCATAAAGTATGTATAAAGTAGTATAATGAGGAAAAGTTACCCTATAGATTCTGAGGATTTCCGTCCACATGGTGTCTATCTCGAAGCTGTCCCCTCGCATGGCCAGCTCCACCACCGCGGAGGTCTCGGCTGCCCTGCGGCCCAAGTAGACTCTCATGCGGGAGGGAGTCGTCGCCAAGACCCCATCCTTCCAGTCCGCGCGGGTAGCCACTGGATCGATGTACTCCTGCATACAGACGCTCGCTGCTTCGAAGAAGCCCGTTGGGTACCACTGTCTGAAGCCAAAGATGATGGTGAGTTGTTCGGTGTCCTCCGGTGCCCTCGGAGGCCAGAACAGCTCGTAGTGGGTCGCCTTGGCATCGTCGGAGAAGTACCACGGGACGTGCATGACTCTGTTGTCGGTTCGGCTGGTCGTGATGTACCAAAGGCCGAGATGCTGCAGGACGGCGATGACACCTGACAGGATGTCCCCGTACAGATCGCCGAACTGGCTCCACAGGAAGCGCAGGATCGTCTCGTCGAGGATGCCGTGTTTCAGGAAGTCGGCCTTACGGTCTTCGAAGTCGTCTTCACTGATGTTCCGGACGCCAGCTGACCGGAAGCGTGGGTGGTTGAAGTCGAAGAGCTTCTCAATGTCACCTCTGAGCAGGAACAGGAGGATGACCTTGATGACCTTGAAGAACTGTGTGGGGTTGGGGAACAGCAAGTCGCTCAGGATAGGAGACTCGATCTCTGCACCAAACCAGAAGATGTCCCGCCTGTGGTGAAGGAACCGGATCGCGATTTCCAGCTTTGGTCCGCTGAGCCCTGTCAGCTCCCGTGCAACTTCCTCTACCTCATCCCACGTCATCACCTGCCTACCCTCCCCGTGCCTCCTCAGGACGGTGTACAGCTCTCTCCACGACCACGGCACCGGGAAGGCCTCGCTGTTGGCTGGCTTCTTCTCCTTCATCATGAAGCCGACGATCTCGTTTGCTAGGTCGTCCAGACCCGCGAGCTCCGGCGAGGAGCTGACCGCGAACACTTTGCTCGGGAGGCTACAGCGATTGCGGATGAAATGCTCCAGCTCCTGCCGTCTCTCCAACAGCATCTCCCTGTTCAAGCCGTAGAGTTCATTGGACGGTTCCAGCCTACTGTGGCTCTTCATAGCATCGTTGATGTCTTTGACTTTGGTCTGCAGTTCCGAGATGAGGTGCTGCTCTTGTTGCTGGATGCGCGCCATGATTTCCACGTGTTTCGCGGCGAAGTCTTTGGCGGTGCAGAAGTCACTGTGGGTGCCGACAAGGAGGACGCGGCACTGCGGCACGCGGGCGTTCAGGAGCTCCAGCCAGTTTCCGATGGCCTGCCTGTACTTGGCACTGACGTACTCGTGTGCGTTGAACAGAACCAGGTACAAGGCGTTCTTTGGAATGACCAACCGGTCGGTGAAGAAGTCGAAACCGCTGGTGTCCACCAATTCTACTTCGAACTCGTCAAACGTCCACATGTGACTCTCCGGGACGGTGGGGTTCTCTGGGTAGAAGGGTTCGTCTTCTTCTCCCGTGAGATGAGACTCGCTCTGCAGAAGTGTCCGCACTAAGCTGGACTTCCCTGATCCGGGTGCTCCCAGGACCACCACCTTGTGATGAGGCATCTGCGCGATCCCCGTTCTCTTCATCTCCGTCACATACTCGTAGATCATCGGCAGACCTTCGTTGCAGACATCTATGGGGGGTTGACGGAGGGGGTTGTCCTTGACTGTGATCATTGCCAGTCCCGCCATTTCCAGGATGGCGTTAGGCAGGGCTTCAATGTTGTTACCGTCCACGAGAAGAACTCGGAGTTTCGACAGGTATTTCAAATCCACGGGCAGCCAGTCGATGTCGTTTTCTCCCAGATCAAGTTCTTCGAGCTCATGTAGCAGAGTCAGCTCCTTGGGAAAGGCCTCGAATTGATTGTTACGAAGCCAGACCTTCCTCAGACGTTTTCTTCCCTTGATGCCCTTCAGAGTGCTCAAGTTGTTGTTGCTGACATTTAGTTCCTGTATCTCCGCCATGTTGGGCAGCAGGTCAGAGATGGAGCTCAGGAAGTTGTTCTGTAGACAAAGGGTCTTCAACTTCCCCCACTTCGGTGCCTGACCGGTAGGAGTCGTAGTGAACAACTTATTGTCCGAAATGTCCAGCTCTATCAACTTGCTCCTCTGGAGGAGAAACGCAGGGATAGAGGTTAGACAGTTCCGTTCAATGTTTACTTTCTTCAACCTCTTCATAAGGCACTCCTCGTCTGCCACGTCTGCGATATGGTTGTTGGACATGTCCAGTTCCTCCAACATGACGAGGGTCAGCACAACTGCAGGGATTTGCACGAACTTGTTACCGGCCAGGTTCAGCTTCCTGAGACGCTTGCTACACTCCAACTCGTAGGGCATATCCTTGATCGCGTTGTTCGACGCGTCTAAGACCTCTAATCTCTCTAGCTTCTCTACAATTTCAGGAAGTGTTTCAAACTTGTTGTCCGCCATTTTGAGTCTCTTGACGCTCGTGGCACCGTAGACTTTGCCCTCTACGATCCAGTCTGCCATCTGGTTGTTCGAAATGTCGATATCCTCGACTCCTTTCAGTAGAGATACGATTTTGGGGACAGACTGAAACTCGTTCTGAGAAAGATTGATTCTTCTGAGTTTTGACAGGTGACAGGGTCCGTCCGATACCCTGCGAAGTTTGTTGGCCGAAGCGTCCATGACTTCGAGACTCTTGAGGTCAAGTATGAACCGAGGTAGAAAGGGCAGCTCGTTGTGGCTCACGTCCAGTCGTTTGAGGAACCTCATGCGGCACTCCTCGTCGTCCGTCATTTCCCTGATGGTGTTGAACGAGACGTCAAGTTCAATCAGAGCGCGCATGCCCAGGACTGCCTTCGGAAAGGACACGAACCTGTTCCGAGCCAAGTTTAACTTCGTGACTCTCTTCAGCCTCGGCTTCTCCGGGAACGTCGTGAGTTGGTTCCCGGAAAGGTCCAGCTCTTCCAGGTTATTCATGCCAAGTAGGACCTCAGGTACAGCCTTGACTAGACGGTTGTTTGAGAGGTCAGCGCGTCGGAGCTTTACCAGGGAAGCCATCTTTAACGGCAGAGATTTGATGAGGTTTTCTTTGAGCAGCAGAACCTCGAGCGACCTCATGTCCGCAATGTCTGGCGTGATCCTCGCGATCTTGTTGTAACTCAAGTCCAAGGTCACGACGTCCTTGAACTGGTAGACTTGGAGGGGCACGGTGACCAGGTCACACCGGCACAGGTTCATCTCTCTCTTGCCGGTGTCGTCCGAGGACACTCTGGACGCGATGTCTCCCATGGTCAGGCTCATGGCCGGAGCCACAGTCTGCTGCGGCGTCATCATGTCAAGAGCGGCCATTTCGAAATGACTGCTGTCAGACTACTTGACTTTTAAGTGCTTTTCCAGTCACACTTCTTCGTTGCTTTGTCTAAAGAATACATTTTGTAATCACCCTTAGATGGAGCATTTCTGAAAAGAAAGATATAGCAGAGTTAATCATATTGTATAAAATAATCCCACCAGTGTCAATATGTCGTCACAGAATTATCAGACAGTATAAAAAAGAGTACTTTGGTTATGAGTAGAAACTAGAGACTGTAGAATATAATCTACCTTGTTTATATTCTATGATTATGTCATGATATAGCTTTTGATAATGTTGACCCCCCCCCCCAACATACTAGTACTTGATACTAGTATTACTAGCTCAACTAGACGGGGCAAGGCAAATGAACAATCATCACTAAGACTAGCGCATTATACTCAAACATTACTAGTATACTCGTAGATTGTCCGGAAGCAACAAAAAAAAACGTAATACTGAGAGAAACAAAGTACAGCTAGCCTCATAATCTTTCCCCTGACCAAGTGATGACATGAACGACAGCCGGTGTAACACAAGATAAGCACCATAAAGCCTTTATGACGACCAAGTAACATCGAGTTACCAACGCGAAGCTGCATCGTCGTTTGTTATGAGGTGTGGAAAAGTTCGGACAAGAAAACAACAACAATACCCACCAACCCACCACTGCTGAGGTTTCCTTAGATTAGTAGTGACCCATAATGTCTATCGCGCCCCCGTCGATTGTACGCTTGTGAAAAGACCGGTTTCATATACACCAGCACCAGAAAACTCCGAGCATTGGTTTACCTGTTGCCTAGCGGTGGCCAGTGCCAAACAAGAGATCACTGTACCAACAACACTCATTGAATCAGCGGTCTCACCCGGGAAATAATTAAACACTGCTCGAAAACGCTACCACACAGGGACAAATTTTCATTCTTCCTGGCCAAAATTGAAGGACGTAGGACGCTCATAGTACGTGAGGTTCGCTGGCAACTTTTTTTGCGTTGACGTACACAAACACACGTCTGTGACAGGTTACCAAACCTCCTGTCGGAAAAAGTAATATCGCGTTACAATGGGAGGCATTCAGGAGAACAAAACTTAGCCCACGGAATGTGTCAACAAAACCATGACACGCTTACAACCCACGTAAACCTTAAGTTCGGAGTGTAAGTAAATCCGCGTCGAGACCTTTTTTAAGGAACCGCGACGTTTTTGGTGTCACAAATGTGACATGTATACATAATAATCCTTCCCTTCCCCTCCTCACTACGACAAGCATCAAAACACTGAAATGCCGTGCGGACAAAGGATTCTTGGTTTAACCATAAACAACGTTTTGCTTATCTCTATACAGCCTATCAAAGACCATTAAAACTAACTAGATCTTCTGACGTACCCCACTAATTAGTGCGCAGTCCGTGTGAATGGTACAGCAGGGTCAAAATGTGCCCTCCCTGTTCACATAGTAACGCTTTCAACGTTGTAGACATAGAGTAAATAGTAGAGCCCTCACTACAAAGGCGCTGAGAGCGAACGTGGTTTCTGTATATGATTTCATCACAATTATTTCACCATTAAGAAAAAAGCGCCTCCGGTTGAAACATAAACACAGCTGTGGAAAGCAGCGTCCAAGACTTAGTGAACGTAACGTTAAGTTTACTATGTCGTTTCTTTAGTTTTTCGTTCCATTCGTTAACGGTATCCTGAAAGGAAAATATACGAGCTTCACCTAAAAATGTCTAGACTGATACATTATGTTTGCTCGTTGTCCATGCAACAGCACTGAGACTGACACAACAAATTCACGTTGCTTTGCAAAACTTACCACCACTTCTAACCTTGAGACCTATAAGCCGCTATTCTGTATTCCAGTGTGACGGAGGTCATTTGAGATCAACCGGGCATACGGTACAAGTTCTAGTCACGTTGTAACAACACGATGCATCCACGAACATGCAATAAACGTATACATTCAGTTTTCGACAAAAATTGATGCAGATTCCATGTGCAGATGGTTTCACATCACCTTGCTGAATTTAGTGTACGAGGCGTAACCATAACGAATATGGGACAAGTGCACATGGCCTTGGTAGGAAAAATAAACTGTAACAAATTCCTAAACCTTCACAAACATACCGTATGAAGAGAATGTTATATCAAACGAGAAGTGACAAACGTATAGATCGTCACATACCCGATGTTTCTAGTTGCTACACATCTGCAACAGTTAAAAGTACACAGAACACGGTATGTGACATTACAAGCCGTCCGTTGAGACGGTGGAGTGGCCTCAAACTGTTTGGGGATGCAAGCTAGAGCCAACTTACAGATATTCCAGAAACACAGAGCGAACTGCGACGTCCATAGATGCAAATCAGTTGCTATTTTAAGGCCACTGAAGCTTCTGGCGCTGTTTCTTGATCTAAAATGAGACCCACGAAGCTCAAAGACTTGTGACGACTCAACGCACTCGGCTCTGAAACTGGTTGTCAAGCTACCGCTCATTGTGAGCCATGTCATTCACAAACTAGCCAATCTATTGAAGTAAACACAGAATACATACCTTCTTAATCTCCCTTTCTTGTGTCCATTACGCCTCCATAAGGGTTGCTTGCATTTCTTAATCCATAAACTCACGAACTTTGAAAAAGGAGACTGGGATTTAGCGGGGAAACCGAGGTGCTGGGTCTTCTTCGCCAAGGAAACGCGGTGAGTGGCTGGCGGTGTCAGGTGAATGAGGGTCAAGCTGGCGGCTTTTGAGTCCCAGTAGTGCCGCGGAGGGATGAACTGATCAGCGGCGATTCACGGGCATGGCGTGACGGAGACTGTATAAGGAGAACAGTGACTTGAGTACACAGGCTGCCAAAACTACCTGACAGTCCGTCAGCCAGGGTTGTCACAACGCCACGGGTAACCGTACGTGCGTCCTATTTGCTGAAAGTAAATGTTGTCCAACCACTACGCAGACCAAAGACTACAATGAAGTGTAAGACACGTTTGTCGTAAGAAAAAAACGTTTTCACGTTGTTGATAGGGGGAGGGAAGAGTTCCACGGCCTCCTGGCGGTCCTTTCTTCTCGTGATTGCTCGCGTGAAAAGGCTGAATAGTTATGGGGAAACACAACGCGCGACGGAGAACAAAGACGTTAAATTTGATACAAACAAATAAACAACGGTGCCAGCGAGACAGGTGCGTCAGCTACATGTGTATGGGTGGGCCTGGTTTGGCGACCTAAAACGTGCCGTGCAACGTTGTTAAAACGTTATCGTAGCCAGCAAGCTGCCTCAAGTTAGATAGAATGGGACACTACAGAATAGTAGAAATCTAAGCCAGCTTCACCGATAGCACTATGGAATACGAGGTTAGAAGTTAAGCATTACAAGAAGCGGCAACAAGCAAGTGCTGCGCAAATAGAGCGATCGCGGCATGGATTGTTGATATGATTGTAATATTTATCACACTCAACAAGCAATCTAAATTGGTTGTGCTGACAGGGTCGTGTATTAATGCAGGATTGAGGACTGTTCCAGGAGCTAACTCTATTATATGTTTCATCAGCGTGATTATAATTGTATTACAGAAATTGCATTACCGACTTAGTCAAACATGTGTCACGCACAAAGGGAACTCATATTGCATGTCTAAAACGTGATTTTACTTGTCGTGTATTGATGAGTAAAAAGTGAAGCATTACATATGATCGAAAACTCGCAGAAAAATATAAGAACGAACCAGATGGCAGAGTACAGGGAAAAATGGCGAACTTGTGAACTGCAATTTCCCTGAGATATACCAATTTATCACGTCGACGTCACTTTATATATGTTGGTCCTTTTCAATGTAGTTTAACTTAAATATCCTAGTATACTAGTACTATAGTGCTTGTTTGATGTCAAATTCGTACTTACGTACTCGGCAACCATTTACAGGTTGTAACTCCGCAATGCCTAGAGTTTTTAGAATGAGTACATGTACGATTGCTGTTTAAATATTCTGTCAACATTTACTCAATGTTAACATGTGTAATGTTTGGACGGTTTGGAAGATATCTATGTTGACTCACTAATGCCAACATGCATTAGTACGATTCCGACACTCTAAATTCCTACGCAGTGAACATCGCTGTTGACTCTACAAAGAAACCAGTGATTCGGAGGGTAAAGGACTTGCATCTGTCCTCCGCAAAAGAAGAGTTTTTCCCCACTTAGAAAGCTGTACAAATACTCGCGCGCTTCGCCATACTCTACAACAGCGTCGACTTTGCACCTGACAACAGCGCCACCTACCGTTAGACTACCGTTCCCCTCGCTTTGCCCTCAGTGTCACACACACACGAACACATAGGCAATCCGGCAAACGCCCCGCAACCATGGTTAGGATCCGGAGTAGGTCGGAGCAAAGTCGGCTGGGTCGGCTGGTGTTCTGCGAGGTCGGCTGCTATTCGAATTAGGCTGCGCCAGCCGAATGTTTCAAATGTTTAAACCATTCGGGGCCGGGGGTTGGTCGGTTCGGACATGGTTGGCAGGTGTTCCGAGCTGGAAAGTCAGCACGCAGAACACCAGCCAATCATTTTTGTAGCCTGGTTACCAAACCTATTATAGCTCCCGAGTCCTACATCCTCTCCGCAAAATGATGTAGGACTCGGGAGCTATAATAGGTTTGGTAAGCAGGCTATCATTTTTGGAGTAGGTTATCAGTTTTCGCGGGTGTTTAGGGGTCAAATTTGACTCAAATTTAACTCAAATTCGCTTTGATTCGTGATATACAGAAAGTGAGGGGCTGTTCTAAGTTTGACTTTTTCATCCTCCTTTTCAAAATTGGTTTACCGTAAGTTTGCACTCTGACCTGAGAATAACCCTAATGAACAATGTACATTATACACTGTATATAATGTCCTTGGTAGAATCAAGCTGCATTGTTTTCATTCAACAACACAACAATGAACTAGAGTTCCTTCGCCTTCTATTTATATCAGTTGATGACAGTTCTGTTCCCAAATAACACAAGGTGTTCAAAGTATGGAAGTCTTATCTTAGCAAATAAGGCTATTTGTAACATTTTCTAATATAACGTTAATGTCTATAACTTTTAATCATTACAAATCACAATCAGGACGATCGTGAAGTCACCTTGCTTGCAACGTGATGAAATCAAATACCAACACCATTGTGACCGGCACGGTGTCTCCTGAGGCATACTAGTACTAGTATATTTACCTTTAATTTGCTTATTAAACACGGAAGAAAAAGAAACAGACCCAAAATTCTCTGGAGCTAAACGTACGAGGATCATTATGCTTTCCACAAACAGACAAACAAACAAACAAACAAGCAAACGACGGCATTGAAAACATACCCTTTTTATTGAATGTAACTATTTTATTATGGGGAACCATAGTCAAGTTAACATGAGTAAATGAAACATGCTGGCTTCAACTTCGTTCTCTCTAGCTCAAACATCTTTACCGGCGTTTTCATAATGTATCAGCAGACCTGGTTGTAGGCTGCAGTTTCAATATAAGTGCTAGGTGACGTTGTTGACTTTCCGTCTGCGTATGAAATTCAGAATGACCTGCTCTTTCTGTCAATCATTGGTTTCAAAAGCATCTCGCCTATTCATCAATCATCGTACGTGCAATACAATACAATACAATACAATACAATACAATGTGATACAATACAATACAACATATATTAATGCTTTGATCTGTATCGGTGCTAACTCAGGTAGAGTTGTCTCCTTTTAAATGGCAGGGTTAGGGATTCCATGATCCATTCAATAGTTAATTGTTGCTAATTGCTTAGGCGGATGTCAATGTGTCTAGAGTTTTTTTGCATCATTTTACAGGATAAGGGTTAGGATTATATATAAGATATTATGGGTATGGCTATGTGTTATTCACAGGAACATCCTAGAAATACTGTACGTCGATGAAGGTCAGATATACATGCACACCGAATTGTGATAAAGATGAAAGAAAAGTTATTTACCCATTGATTGTAACGTTGTTAGTCTAGTAATTTCCGCGTTTCACGGACAGTGTCTGACCATGCGATTTTAGCTAATTCTAGTCCAACCATGAGTGTTTAAGCTCATTCTAGGCCAGCTCACATGTTACCTAATTATGTTTACCGAAGGAAAACATATTGTTTTTACTCAGTTTCTTCCTCCTCTTCTGTTCCAAACACTAACCTCTGACCTGACCAATGACATGATTTGTTGACGTCTGTCACCATGGTGACTGGTGTTGGGTTACATCATGTTGCAATTTCATGGTCTGCTCTGGTCCTGTCACCATATACTAGTAGTACATGTATGTGAATGTGTTTGAGTAAGAATTAACAGAGCAGACCATGTCCGAAGGTAAACATTATGCATTTGCTTTGCAAATGTTACTTCTCTAGTTAGCTAAATAATTCCCTAATGTGAGGACTAACGTCGCTTTATCGGATGTTTAAGCATGAGTGAACGGAGCGGAGGGAGAGTCTGCCTTTTCTGGACCGGGAAGCCTCGACCTGATGATAAGTTAAATAACCTTTATTGTACATTCATGCCCTATCGGGCTAAGTAGAGGCGAACAGATGAAATGGGTAATATACATGTTTGTATTACAAACAGCTCTAAATCTACTCTAATACAGAAGTTCGGTTTCTTCTCGTTTCTCAAGTTGTGGTGTTAAAAATATAATTTGAAATGGGTTTGTATAATACAGGATGATCAAAGCGCATAAGAAAGATTTTTTTTAATATTAGGCAAGTATTAGAAGTATGGAAACGTACTTGTAATATATCTAAAAAGATCATTTCTTTCATTGCTATATAAACTACAATCTAATTCTAACTGACTTAAGAGTGCGTCGGCATTGAGACTCCCAGTTGGCACATTTAGGCATATTCTGATGAAATGCTTTATATGGCGTTAAGGGAGGCCTCTAAGTCTAAGTGCAAAGGGTGCCTCCCTAATTCAGCCCGTGCTGCAAGATTACAAGCTGTTTTAGGTACATTGAGAGATTGTTTGCAGAAGTTTAAATCAACAGATTCGATTGGACAAGAGTTTGAGGTTTTGAATTACTAGTATCCCCAAATTTCTGATCCATAAAGGGATAAAGCAAGATAGGTTTCACACAAGAGTCGAAAAGCTTGTTTAAACTCGGTGCTCTTTCCCATAGCTTTGCCTTTTTTTTCCTGCATTTGTATTGATATGATTTCATTTGAGACAGTGAAGAAGAAAGTGAAAGTTCATACTTTACATTGTACCGCGCGTACCACACCATTTGATTGGTTGTCATGTCAAGGACCCTCAGCTGATGCAGTACGCGCCACCTGATTGGCCAGAGCACGCTAAAAAAAGTTACGTCATTGATCACGCTATTTCTGAACAAGCCGGCCGGCGGGCGGGGTAAGACAACCAGACCTTTGACAAATCCCAACGTTAAACTTTGACTCCCCGTACCGTTACACCCAGTCTTTTGACAGTTCGAGTCCTCAGGCGGGAAAACTGAGGAAACATCATGGGCTCCTCGGTGTCTAGAGACGATTTCGAGTGGACTTACAGCGAGGAACCGCACGCCAGTCGCAGGAAGCTCATTCTAGGTCAGTTCACATGTTACCTAACGTCGCTCTATCGGATGTTTTAGCATGAGTGAAACGGAAGTAGTCGCCCCACAAACTAGTAGAAACCTCTGTGACATTCTAAGTTATAGTTTATTGGTATCCACGGCGTTTTCTGACATAAACTACCACCATGCAGTGGATTCCCATACAGTGGTGTCCTGGACAGTACAGAAAGTGATTTTAGGGGTAAATTTTATGCAGCGGCCATTTTGCTGTCGAAAAAATGTCACGCAACATAACGTCTCAGCATGTCCTGTCTGCACTACTGTCACAGGGGACTGGGAACCAAACATCCAGTCGTGGGGATACAGAGGAACTAGTCTGTAGGGGAATGTCGTTGGATGGAACAGATACTCAAAGAGGGTCGTTCATAACTGTCTTCGTATGTAAATTTGAATAGGTCTTGACCAAACGCCGTGTAGTAAACGACTGTCAAGGCTAGTCAAGAGGGCCCGTTTTTATCTGAAACCCTGACAAACATAGGTCCACTACAGGTCACTTACGTCTGCTGTACGTCCCTTGTCATCTACTGCAGCATACATGCTTATACAGACCCATTTGTACCCAGCAGAGCATGTGGTCTCAGAATGCAGACATAGATACCCAGACATGCACCGTTACTTGCAGGCACCATGAAGCATGGTTTATTTATTTTTTTAGGAAAATACATATTATGTACCAACGATTTTCTATGTCCAGTGGGATATGTTTGCGAAATGTATACTAGTGCTATCCCATTTCACATTTCATTCTGCTTCTATGTTTTATTAAGCTTACACAAAGTACAGTGTTATATCTATATTATGTATTATAAGGAACAATTTGTTGTCAGGTGTTCAATTTGTTGTCTTGTATTGGCAGGTTGTCAGATAAACAATAAATTATATGACACTATACCCAGCTTATATCCCCATCAGGAAATAGTTAACAGACAAGAGGTGGAAATTCACAAGGAAAATTAAATTGGGTTTGGGTTGGCCAGCATTAAAAAAATTCAACAACTTGAACAAGGTGATTTGACTTTTTAAAAGCAGAAGTAGACAAAGTGATGAATTATAACTGTTACTAATAAATAAAAGTAATATTACCATACAACCCCGTGAACCCCCTCAAAGTTCATTTATGGTCCAGCCCTACTCATTGGTTCCCATCACAGGATATAGATACTTGTTGTGGGTTGTTTGGGATGTTTGTATTTCCAGTTATTTATCAAGGTAAACCACCCTTTGATTTGGGAAGTAAACAAATGTGTAGTAAGCTAATTTACAGCTGATAGCAGGTGCATGGAAGAGGGATTTGGTTCTCAAGTTGTATCATTAGACTTCCTTGTCTTCCCATCAATTATAGTCCAAGGAGTAGTCACTTGCATGCACTTGTCTTCAAAGATCCATACAAGTGCCCATTCTCAGGTTATTTACATATGACAACAGTAAATGTGTATTGGAATTTGCAGTGTAGTGGGCCATGACATTTAATTGACAGGGGCAATATACAAATGTAATTGACCCATGAAATGACCATGCACAGTGGTCCAGTCTAAATACTAGTAGTTTTACTTTAAGCATGAGAATAAAAATTACTTTTAAGCTAGGTTAGAGCAGTCCCAATAACCTCCCCCACCCCCACCCCCAAAGAAAGAAATGCAGAACTGGTAATTTCATTTTGACAATTACTCAAATTGATAAATTTTGTATTTCTAGTTAAAATGTCCTCAAATTTCTGACTACAACACTGTATACAACAGCTGTTCACCAGGAACGTCCTACCCAGTTTGCAGTGACCGTGCTTGTGGAGTGTACCCATGACTACATAATAAAGTCTGGCACACAGGACAATAGGGTATTCATTGGTTGGGTACACGACACGATGATCCTTTGTGTTCTGTTCAGGAAGTGAAATCATGACTGTGGTAATCCTGACTTCTGAGTAAGGCCGACTTTAGACTGACGACGGTACACGATCGCACGACAATCGTTGTGGGCGACGGCTGGCTTTAGACACATGACCAGAAAGTGTGGCGGACACCCGCAGCGCAGGAGGGCACGCCGCGCGCCAATTCAAAATGGCGAGAGAACCCCTTTTTTCGGCATGCTGTAGCAGATTGTTTTTATTCTGCTTTTAACTCGTTGTCCTGTTGATGAGACGCCGAGTTTGTGCCCAGCAAAGAAGGGGTATGAGGCACATGTACCGAGCGGGGCAATACTCCGGGTTTGAACCCGGCGTTCGGTGCTGCCGTCTGCCTGGCTACATTGGCCGGGAAGTGTGGATCGGCGGATCGGTTCGTACTGGAGAAGTAGCGATTGGTGGCAGGGGATTGTACTAGACACGTATGACGATATAAAGTCTTTGGTTTGACGACATTTAATGATACAGGCGATGTGCTTGGACATGAAATAACGCTTGCAGGCTTATTTGCATAAGGCCAATGACCTCCCACTTCCTTCGCCGGCGACGGTTCACTTTAGACGGTGGAAAATCCTCCTCGGACCCCCCGCTGAAGGATCGCACGATAGGGTCCGAGGTGGTAGTGACGACGATTCGAGGATTACCGTCGTGCGACTATTTTGATCGTGTTTAGACGGTGGTAAAATACCGTCGCCGGCAACATCTTGACGACAAACATTCGTACGACTATTTAACCGTCGTCAGTCTAAAGTGCCCCTAACACTTCATTGTTGTGGTACTAGTATTGAACATGTCATGTTGACTAGTATTTGTACGGATTTTGTATTTTGTTCTTGTATGAATACTATGATTGCCCAATTTACAGTTCAGTTCAGACCAATAACCTATGGTTGTAGGGCTGCCACCACAGCCTATGCCCTAATACACTAGAAAAAAAAGGAATGTTTAGTTTGTAAAATGTTATGTGTTGGTGAAGGTTAGACATCCAGCATTCTAGGTAATTAGATATGCCCAAAAAAGTTACCCAAGCAACTGCATATGATTTTGGAGATGGTTGTATGGTTATGTTCAAAATGTTATATGGTTTCTAACATTTCAAGATGGTTCTGTTCATATTTGAAATTTGATATGCCATATACATGTACTATGATGTAGATACTAGTAAACAGCTTCAGGCATACATGTATATTGTATACATTTGTAACATGATGTATGTCGATATGGAATTGTAACCACAATAGGTGGCGTAATGGCTTTCTTGTTAATCCAGTTGTTCAGCATGGGAATAATAGTAGACAAACCGCCCCAAGGGGAACGTGTGGTATATAATGAACCAGTCCACTAGAAAAGAGAATTTAGTTGGGAATCTACTCCAATAGACTGGAAGAAATTAAGCTATGAATTAATAACACACCTGTAATTTAGCACTGCGGTCATAATATTGGAACAAAATATGTGCAGTAAACAAATCTTCATAACCTCATAAATGTTGCTAGTTCTAGCTAACATAGTTACATCACAACTCCTAACTCCTTTACCTCCTAAAAACACCTGAAAAAAGCCTGTCTTCTCCATACTTGTAACTTGTCAAAGTGGAAAGCTTGTAAATCTCTAGCAGAAATCAACAGACACTCTAACAGGTAGCATTAAAATTTCATCACATTAGCTTACTAGTTAGCGACATTTATGATCTTGATGATGATGACCTATTGGTATTGTATTGTTTTTCTGTTACAGCAAAGTACCCACAGATGAAAGAACTGTTTGGGCATGACTCCAACATGGTATACAAGGTGGGCTTCATGCTCACCCTACAGCTCATAGCCTGCTACTTTGTACAGGTGAGTCTGTTTGAAATCAAGAAAATCAATCTCTTTGGTTTTCTAGCAACAGGGTCACCGTCAATGATTGTGAATCAGAGAAGATACAGGTACATGTATATGTATATGCGAAGAGTCTGCAGAAATATACTCGATGAATCAGTGTTTATTTTTAGCCATGGCTGTATTAGATTTCCCTCATCATAATCCATATTGTTCCATCCCAAAATCACAGCTGAATGTATAGTGAAACTACATATGCATGATGGATAATAATACACAAACTTGCTTGTTCTACAATAAAAACACAAACTTGTTGTATGTATGTTAAGATGCAGTTAATATTGCCACAAACCAGATTGAGAACATAGTCTAGCTGGTTTGTGATAGCCAGCTCCGAAGTTCATACTTTCTTAATTTTCATGATGGACAGGATGCACCGTGGCCGGTTATCATCCTCTTGGCATATTGTTTTGGCGGCATCATCAACCATTCCATGATGCTGGCCATCCACGAAATTTCACACAACCTGGCCTTTGGCCACTCCCGGCCCCTTCACAACCGTATCCTGGGCATCGTGGGAAATGTCATCATTGCCGTGCCCATGTCCATCTCCTTTAAGAAGTACCATCTAGAGCATCACAAGTACCAGGTAAGAGCCCTGCATTCTTTCATACGATCATTCAAAGGGAGAAATGACACATTGTCCTAGGTTTCATTTTCTTTGTTCAGGATCAAAGTTTCAAACACCAAAAACTGTCAATTCCAAATATATAGTATGTAGCAATCCCTTACTGCTTACTATGTAGCAATCCCTTACTACCCTTACTTAGGCTCCTTTTACATACAAGGATGCAGAAATATAAGGTAAGGTGGTGCTGTAGATATGAGGGAGGTTAAGACTCAAACTGAGCCAAATACAAGCAAACTTTGAGGACTGAAAGCAACATTTGAAAATTGACATGATGCTGAGATCATAATTAGCGATGATAGTGTCACGAAGAAAGTCAGAAAGTGCCTTTCACAAGGACACACAGCCAGGAATTGTACCTGTGGCCTCTCAATCCTGTATCTGCTAACCTGACTACTCGGCCTTTGGTACTAAGAGTGATGATGATGACTAGTTCTATTGGTAATACCCATAGTATTACACTTACTAACAATATAGTACTCTGATACCTTCATGGTGTTCCAGGGAAATGAAGAAATGGACATGGACCTGCCATCAAAGATGGAGGGAGTTCTCTTCCACACCACCTTCACCAAGTGTATCTGGCTCTTCCTTCAGCCCTTCTTCTATGCCCTCCGTCCACTCTTCCTGCGACCAAAGCCTGCCACAGGGCTGGAAATCATCAACACAATCGTCCAGATTGCCTTTGATGTGTCCATTTTGTATTTCTTTGGAGGCAAAGTGAGTACATTGTTCTAAGAAATATACACAACAGGGCTCAATTCATTTTTGGGAATAGGTGCACTGGTGCATCTAACCTAAAAAATTTGGTGCACAAAATTTTTTTTGGGTGCACCATATAAAATGAAATAAGTAGAATGTCCGCAAAAACAATGTTTCATTTCTAATGAAAAAAATGATTTTATTATTTTTCTGACACTTAAAGAATATGCTGTATACTACTATACATTTAAAATCTTTACATACAAAAATATAAGAAAATATTTGGGTGCTCTGGTGCACCCACAGAAAAAAATCGGGTGCACAGCTCCAAATTTGGGTGCACTAAGGTGCACATGCACCCAGTATTTTGGGCCCTGCACAGGGATTTTCCTGTGCATCTTACAGAAATTGATGATGTTTCTCATCAAAAACTCGGCACCTGTTTTGATGTCAACTATGCCTTTATTCAACAACTATTGCCTTAATACGTCTGTGAAACTATTGCCTTATATGATTACAGTAAGAAATTGTTTGTACATATAGGCGCGAGTATGTGATTATTGCTCATAATGTATGCTACTAAAGCCACCTAAAATACTTAATACGTGACCTTTATTTCTCTACGGTATGTCTATGTCAGAGTGATGGTCAAAATCCTTCCAATGTTCTCCAATATTGCAGAATGTCAAACTTTTGGAAACTTGAAGATCTTGAATCTTGAAAATCATTCTGCAAAATACAGACTGCAGGCGTGTATTTCAAACACTAATATAATTACTCTGCACTACACAGTCTCTAGCGTACCTGATGATCGGCAGCCTGCTCGCGATGGGAATTCATCCCGTGGCCGGACATTTCATCTCAGAACACTACATGTTCAAGAAAGGCTACGAGACCTACTCCTACTACGGTCCACTCAACGCAATCACCTTCAACGTTGGTTATCACAACGAGCACCACGACTTCCCCAATATTCCTGGGTGTAGACTTCCCAAGGTGAGGTCTTTATGTTAAAGATGTACCTCCAGTTAACTTATACATTGTACATCCATATATACATGGCATATTTGATTTATGTTGGGTGATGCCTGAAAGATTAAAAGAGATGCCATCGTGTTGAACAAGTCTTAGTGGCATCATCTGAAATTTTGTTCATGATATCCCTCTTTGTGGAAACTTTCAAATGTAATACTCATGATATATGCACATCTTGCCTGTAGAATAGTTTTTAAGCATTGAATCACACCACAAAAGATTAACTCTATTGCCTAACTTTACATGTCAGTTACAAACCATATGTGAAAAGTTGATCGATAAAGCACTACAGTCAACAGTTAAACCAGTATTTGTCATTGTTGACTGAAAAGTGCTATGATCTGTGACATATAAGATATTGTCTTACACATCTGCAGGTACGTGAGATTGCCCCAGAGTTTTACAACAACCTTCCGTGCCACACATCGTGGAGCCGTGTCCTGTACGACTTCGTGACAGACCCGGACATCGGACCATACGCCCGCGTCAAGCGCAGGAGTAAGCCCATCCCCATCAACCCTGCCAACCTGGATGTAGACGGTGACACCAAGGCAGAATAAAACATCACATGCAGACACAAGTACACTTCACTATGTATAATACATCTACACACACTACGTACCTAATGCTAGCTTACAGAAAGAACTGCAGACCTTTGGCCCTGCAATAAGGGTTTCCTTAACATAGCATGAAAACATTTGAAATATAGAGGTACTCAATACGAGCGATCGCCATGACATCATGGTAGGGAAAGAGCGGGTGATGGTTGGCTGATTTGTCTACCAATAGTTTGCTTATGTCTTCAGATAATTTGCATGTACATCATGTGAACAAAAACAGTGATCGCTTGTATGGTGTAAGGGAGGCAGAAAGTTGTGCTGTGAGGACCCCTTGTAGGTCAGGATGGTACTGCAACAATTTGGCTTGTTGGAGCTGATGAGCTAAGCTAGCCTGCTATTCAGCTTTGTTAGCAACCCTTGAAAGAAAACCAAGGGTGGATACCAAGCATAAACTAAGTGCCTCTCATTGCTCAAACTTTTCTCAACATTTATGAGATATCTAGAGCTTTGTAAATTTCTTGTTTCATCTCCTTTTGTTTATTATGGAAATAAGGTTGTGATTATTGTAATCTGTTTTAATTGATGGTCTTCTGTACCCAAATTAAATGCATTTTATGTGTGAAGGTTCTATCCTATGGCAGAACTTAACTTCCACATTTACAAAATCTATGCATGGTGATGTTAAGCTTACACATGTCCCAGTTGCCAGGCCTACCATTGACTTTGGCCCTCGTGCTCTTCAGATCTACCTACCAAACATCATATGTTCACAAACGTTTTTGGAAGCACAGGCAAACAGACAGACAACAGAAAAATTGCTTTTGTGATTAATCATTACTAGTATCACATTTCTTGTCTGCTTAGAATGATATATCTGAGACAGGCCCTAGTTCCTCTTTTCTTAAACAAGATTTTATTGTATTGTGACCATGCAATCAGTGCAGTTGGAATAGAAATTTGCATACTAGTAACTTGTTGTTTCAGCTGAAATAAAATCATATTGAAATAATTAAATGACATGATAGGTAAAATGTGAATTGATACCTACGGTAATGTTGTACCGCTGTACATAATATTTTGGACGGAAAGAGTGGTTATAAAAACAGTTGAAAAGATGATTGAATTATGTGCCAAGCCAGAGGAACAGTATCATTTTGTATTCAGACATATTTAGCATAATACAGGCATGTTGCATACTACAAGTATAATGCTACAAAATGTTTTGCATTAAATGGGAGTAATTCTTAAAACCATGCAAAAAAGTTTTTAACTTGCATGGTTTTGGAATGGAGTATGCCAGTAACAAATGGATACAATGATTCTAAAACATCTGGATATTATTGTGATGAAGACACATGGAATTTTTGTCATTGTCATACTCATAGAGAGCCTTGCCCTCAAAAGCTACATATTTTTTTTACAAACAAGTCAATATTATTTATTTTGAAATACCAGTGTTGTATTTTAAAGTACTTTATGTTTTCTTGTCTGCAAAATAATGGATTCTTTCTAGGAAGAAGTTTACATGTATGTATTTACAAACATGTATGTTGAATGGATGATGCCACAGTTAGGCCATGCACATAGAGTGCTCGGTGAATGACCTCAAAATTGTACTTCGCCAAAATACTTTGAAAACCCCATGGGGGCATTTGGTGAAGTTTGGGTGGGGACTAGATGCTGGATGGTATATTGTAGGGTTTTGTGTAAATACTTTTGTTTGAATACAAAAGATAAACTTTTGCTTCACCTTAGAATGTAAGACTGTTTGTTCCAAAATTATGTTTACAGTTTTACATATACATGTACGTTGTACTGTATTAACTCTGTAAGATGGTGCGACTAGTTGAGAGAGCAAAGCTGATTGGTATTTGTCAATTTGATATTGTTCATTTCACCATGAGTGTACCTATTGAGGCATTGCCAAAATTTAGAAGGAAATACAACATTTTGTGTCCTATAAACAAGTTTTACATGTGTGTATTTATGGTTTGTCCACATGAAAGCCTTTTGCTTTCATATACACAAAGAGAACATAGGCATGTTTTATTTCAGCATTAAATGAGTTAACTGGGTTATCAAGCTGAGTGAAGGTGTCATTCATTTTTGTGTTGTTGACTACATGTATAAGAGGTTATCAATATCATTAGGGACTTGACCGTTGCCTGTGTTGAGATAGACGATTGATAGGGGGCGCTTCTAAGCATTGCAGCATGTCTTGGAAGATAAGTGTGAGAGTCTAGTAACGTTACGGCCACTTGAGATACCACCGAGATGACTGGTCTTTTATCTTCTTTGTCTAGGAGAAACAACGGTCACGTACTGAAATTTTAACCAGAAAAAAAAAGAAATGCTGAATGATTTCGAAAAAGGACAGCCCACTCTAGTACATGAAGAGACCATCGGGGGTAATACTAGTACATTACGTGCAAATTTGCGTTGTAGGGTTGACTCGATCGTGTTCGATGGGGTACAGAGTATAGTAGAGTAGATCCTTCAAACCATACATGAAGACCTCTTCCAATGCATTTGAGACCGCGTGTCCAAGTACTGACCTGTCATTCCCGTCTTGCGTGGATAGTCTTGAAGCTGTTTTATGTATACCACTGGATGGTGTCCATATGCTTGTCTAGTCTGTTTCTCACCTTGTAATCTCACCTTGAAGTCGGTCAATAGGTACCCTCTTCCTGGGGTAATGAGGCTGGGTGTTTCTGAAAAAGTTTACTGTGGGTGCAGTCACGAATTCCTCGGACAAACAGTCCAACAAGGTTACCATAGTGAAGCCCGTTAAAAGGCATTGTTATTTCGAGGATACAAAATGGGAATCTTTCAGGTATATTTGTTAATATGCTATAAAGTTATTCTGGTCCAGTCATGTTGTATAGCCTCGTTCGTTAGACGTCTAAAGAGGTAGCAAAGCCATAGCAACAAGCGGGCGTCTAAAGCACCACTCGCGCCTGTGTAGCAAGACTACACAATTTTAGTCATTTGATACTCGACAGTTGGATATCCGGATACGTTGTGAGAAAACATAGCCCTATTATTTCAAAGAGGTTTTAAAATATCGCGCCTGTGTTACTTTTATCGAATGGGTTGTGTCATGTGACAGCACTGAGAGGTAAGTAAAATGTCGTTGATGTACAAATGTAAGTTTGTGACAAAAGTGTTCAATACTTTAATTTAGCCTTGTTTAAACCTTCGATTTAGGGATATTCGTAAGGTAACGCTAGACAAAGCTGATTTATATACATGTAACCGTTATATATTTCACTTCAGTGTAAACATCTTCGGCATATGCCCAAAACTACCACGGTAATGGGCATTAACAGTTGATATTAAGCTTATTTTAGGGATGAGCTTCGCAAATGTATTATACCTGGGGCAGTTTCCGGAAGAGAAATGTTAATCTTTTCAACAACTGACCTAACCTTATACAGTCACCCCTGTATCCTCACTTGACCCCAGGCAATGGCAAGTTGCCACAAATCAAAAGGTCGATGCCCGTCTAAAATGTCAAATATACGATAACGTGTGTCGTAAAACGTCTAAACCTAAAACCTTTCAATAATAAAGACAACTTATGTGCGTGATCAATCCGCGACACCTGACATTTCTCTGTGCCTTCATCAGATCAAGGACATTGGAACACAAGGACCGAGCTCGCTATTAGCGCCCCGATCAGATAAAGAAATGCTGAGTGTTGTTAATGTTATAGTATTTGTTTTTGCCCAGGTGACATAGATAACCGTTCGGGGTTTTTGTGTGTCACAAGAAAGATGGCAGACAAACGACGATTCAACCCATCCCTCTAAAAACGCTCAGACCTTGTTTCGCACAGCTTCCCCACCCATATCTATCGTGACACCTCACTACTATACTAGTATATCTTTCCTGTGGTCCCCGGTCAACAGATAGGCCGTCACTCCAAGGTTGCGTTACGGCTGAGTGAAGAACTCGCTCGACCGGATTTTTGCCAGTTCATAATCTTATATCTTAGGCTGTAGTGACCATTGTTGTGTTTAAAGTATTGTTGCGACAAACTCCAATTTGTTCTAGTATTCAAAATTCTAGAATATTGGAAGCAACACAAATTCCGTTGTAGCAACATTCGCAGTTACGTGTGGCGATAAGGAATTTCAACACACGCAGGTAAGTTTCTACATGTTTGTGGCCATTAGAAGACCGGTTGGCCTCCATGGTATGAAAGGTTCGCATGTCAACAAGTTAAGGGTGGCGCGAGACAAATCGCTGTGTTTACATATTGTGCTCTTTCCAACTAACAAGCCGTGTTTTGAAGTGTTGCTAAGGACGACTCAAACGTCCTTCAGAGCCGATACTGAAGTGCCCTGTGTCTGTGTCTGTATCGCCTTGTTTGGCTGGTGACCCGTCGTGGTTAGTGTAACGTTAGTGCCTATACACTATAATTTGAAATTACCTGTAAATCGTACATAAGTTACCTCAGAAATGGAGCCTTTCAGTCCGTATGGTCAGTTGCACTTCCAATGGCTCAGGTTAATGAGAGATGAACTTTGCGGTTTTATGATAGAACACTAGCGCTGTTTATGTTAACAGCTTTATCAAAGTTTAATCAGTCAACGGGCGCCAGATTTCTGGAAGCATTGTCCTGGTTCAGACACTCTATTTGATTTTTTTTTAATCCGATAATATCTTATCTGACTGTCAAGAAGACGAAACCAGATGGTTGAAATTATAATAAAAAAAATAAAAATTTCCCTCAATTTTTTATTCTTGTTGGTAGTGGGGGGGGGGGGCGTTACCAAAAAACGTTCTGTCGCCGGAAGTAGGTATTAACGTTGTTTTCGTGTCATATGTGTCAACAAAAATCGTTGCCCAACTCTTTGTCACTTGTATGATATCTACCATATGCATGCATGAATCTAAAATAAGTGCACACGCCCGTTTCCAAGTCAAAAAGTCTCTGCAAACAATAACACCAGTATCTGTATTTATGATAATACCAAACCATACAACCACTGGCTTCTGGAATGTTCGCAATGTTTAGGCGTGGCTCCAGGTAAAATGCAGGTTAATAATGGGCCCCTCTGTCCCGTCAGTGTTTTCCACATGCATTAACTTTTGTGACTTTTTATTAGTAACCTACGGGCACTAACACTAACTGTTAGTAGTTAAACCTTATCAATCTTTGGCGGCCACATCCCTGGTTATTGACGTTAAACAGGGCGTGGCTGATTAAAATGTAGCCTTGAAGGTAATCGACCGCAATGTCATTCAACCAAGTCAAACTTCAGTGCGTCTGAATTTCTGTCGGGTCGTATTTTGTAAACATTAACCGCACAGCGCAGTGTGTTAAACCACCATCATAGATAAAATTAATTTCACTTCTTTACAAATTCAATATTTGTTCAAAGCTCCAGCTATGATAGGCGCATACGGTAAATATGTGTTTTAGGCTACACTGACTTGATTTTGTGGATGACATCTCGAAACAACGTTAACGTACAGGTCACGTAACAATGTTGCAAATTTGCTTAATTTGTGTGTTCATTCCAATTTTGCAACCTTCGTGATCACATATTTTCGCATTACAGGCCGGGTCCAGAGGATGTCATCCATAACATCAAGTCAGTGTAACCTTATGTTAACGTAATATGTGCGTATATGTTATTGCAATATGTGTAACTCGTTATATATGCTATCGCCCAAAGTTAATATGTGCAGAGTACAGATAGAGTAGAATTACACACACAAATTCTAGACGTACCTTGCAATGTGAGAGCGCCTCCGCACCCACCATAGTTATCAAAGGCTGTCACAGCGACAACGAAAACAACTACTAGTAGTCTCTAGCAGGCTTCTTTGGTTGCCGAATAGACTGAATAGTTTGCGAGGGGAGTTAGCCTGCCATGACGCCTGTGTGTATCTCTATTGCCGCAAATTACGGCTTAAGTGTAGTTTACGGCCGCAAACGTCGGTTTTTCATCCCGACAAAATTACTCAAATGGCTTCTATTCAGCTATTTGGCCAATTTCTACCACTAACTATTTTTCCAGCAACCCGAGAAATCTGGTAGAGACTAGGATTTTATGTAATTTTTAGCGTCAGTAGGAAAGGATTATTTTACTTTACTAACAATAGCAGGCTTTATAAAGCAAAGATTGTGCATGTACATGGGCAGGTTTTTCTCTCACACGCTCACCTATATGTAAAACGTACGAAAGACCAAAGGTACATCTTCAACAAGGCTTCATCGGGTCAGTTTTCACCGTTCAAAACCCATTTTCACCCTTCAAAACCCAATTTTCACCCTTCAAAACTCAAATTTTCACTCTTCAAAACCCAGTTTTCACCCTTCAAAACTCAATTTTTCATCGTTCAAAACTTAATTTTTCACCCTTCAAAACTTACTTTTCACCGTTCAAAACCCAATTTTCACCCTTCAAAACTTAATTTTTCATCGTTCAAAATTTAATTTTTCACCCTTCAAAACCCAATTTTCATCGTTCAAAACTTTTTTTCACCCGTTCAAAACTTTTTTCACCCTTCAAAACTCAAATTTTCACCCTTCAAAACTCAAAATTTCATCGTTCAAAACTTTTTTCACCCTTCAAAACTCAAATTTTCATCGTTCATCGACTCGTCCCCAGGATACTATGGTTGGCTCTTCCCAGTATGCTTTGCGCGGAGCGCGGTCTCTTTCCCAGGGCAGTCAAATACAAACACGAATACGCTGTTATTCGCTGCAGTCCCGCCGTGCCCAGAACGTAATTTTATATTATACCGGACGCTGTGGAAGGAAAACATTTCCAACACGGTTCCAACCGCACCAAGGCACGATTTTCGAACCGGCTGTTTTTGTAAGTTAAAATGGGGAGGAGGGCCGGGGGCGTTTCTAAGTACTTAGACTACGTTTCTAAGTACTTA